ACATATTTATGAATAATGCTTGATGATCAAGTATCTAAATAGTCTGTAACAAAGTACAAAAAAACAACAACAACAACAACAACTTATGACACTTGTTAAAAACTATTTTATGCAGGCCTATACAATTTAATAATAGCCTAGGATATATAATAAAGTTTTGTTTCAAATGGTTGAAGAACAGGCTACTAGCCTGTATAATTTACGTAATAGGTGAAATTATGTATGGAAACGGCTCAAGGGCAATTTTTTCTTTGCAATACACCAAAACTTTTGCAACAATTCGTTTTTTTAGGGATGATTTCATCACGCCCGGAATTTAACCGTTAAAAGGCAAGTGGGTGGAAACCGGGCTTTAGACAGAATTTTTTTTACGCATATTCTCTTTATCGATAACAAAACAGCGCAAAAACTGGATGGAAACTTATGTTACTCAGAGACGCAAAACAGCGCTGTGGTTCTGTTTGGAATTAGCTTTTTTTTATTGGCGAAATAGAGCAAAAATAGGCAATATGGTGTCTAAAACGTACGTCTGTTAATATTAACTTATGGTTTATTTAACTGTTGTATAAAATCAATATCACATTTGTGATTTTTGCAAAAAAAAAAATAGAAATGTCACTCTTTGTGTGATATTATTAAATAAGTATATAGGCCTACATTTTCTGTCCACATATTTTGAATTTTGGGAGCATTCTAAATCTATTTTATTAGACTGAATCATGCAGTGAAACATAAAATAAATACGATGTAACATGAGCAGTTCTAAATTTAATAGGCTAGGAGTTGAATCTTTTCATTTAATTCTCATTTTCACTAAGTTTCAAGTATTATAGCTTCATTGAAAAATCAGAGGACCCCCCCCAAAGTAGGCAAATATTTTTGGTGGTGTTATGGGGGTGCCCTTAATGCTTATGGGAGGTCCGGGACCACCCCTCAATTTGAACACTGAAAAATGTTTACCTTTTGTAAAGTACTGCAGTTTTTCTGACCCGTTATCTAGGCCTGTTGTTTCTCTTCCTTCCTTAAAAATATGTAGGCTAATATAGATCTCTTCGATAATAAGTGTGTATTAACAAACTTATTTATAAAGAATTTAAACGTAGCTATTATCACAGGAGATTATCAGTGCTATTTTCTGAGAGATGTTGAACCCTCAGTAATAGATAAAGCTTTTACCTTTTATCTTACATTTGCTCCAAAGGTCAAGGTGACACATTACATAATTATGTTTAAGATTTACCCTGTTAGTGATTTTATACAGAAAATATTTAATTTTTAAGTGGGCCCATGTGGTTCTTGTTATTCTTTTCCTGAAACATTTGATCACCTATTCTTTTACTGAGAGGTTACTTCTAAATTCTGGTTTGATATTCATTGTTGGTTGTCAGTAAAAATGGAAACAGTTCCTCAATTTGTTTTGCAAGATATCTTCTTTAAGTGTGATTTACATTCTCTCTTTTTTTTTGGTTGTTGTCAATTTTATTTTATTTTTGGGTAAATATCATATTCATACATGTAAAAAAAAAAGGTAAGCCGTCCTTGTTTCAAGTACATTAAAAAACTAAATAGAAAGTCTGAAACTCTTTGCCACTCTATCTCAAAATATTTATTATTTTAATGTATTTTTATTTGATGTTTTTTTGTACAATGGCATATAGAAATCTTAATATCATTTGTATAAATTAGTATTTACCATTTGGAAAAAAGCTATAGGCTACATAAGAAAGGTAAAAAGCACTTAATAGCTAATTAATTAACTAATAAAAATCAAACATAAAACGTAATAATGAGATTTTTTGTTTTACATACCATTATTCTCTGAAGTCCTTAAACGGGTGGTGGTCGGTGAGTCATCCGTATCCTGCTCCTGTAACCTCAAGCGTTTCACGCCCTGACCGCCTGTATGCTGAGGCCTCAATTGCGGCGTTGGGGAGCTGGATGCGGCTGGGGTGTGATCGCTCGTGCTGGCGATGAGCGTGTGAGACTCTTCCTCTGAAGACGTAACGCGCTCGGGGGTGGTTCGTGTGACGTTGTTTGCATAGTGACGTGCTTCCGACCTAACTACAACCTCTTGCAACGCCTCCTCTGTAGGTAATATTACCATGTGGCTGTCAGAACCAACGTGTTCACCTGTAAAAATTTTGTAAACACTTTATGAGAAACTGAAACTTTTAACATGTTGAGAAAAACGAAAGTCTGTATATGTACCGTTATTAACTTCGCAGTCATCATCACAGGTAACTAATTGGGCCTCGTCAACTGGTGGGGTAAAATGATAACGATTATTATTATTATTGCTATTATTAGACATTGAGTAGTTAATAGAAAAAGAGAAAATACTTACATAGCTCTTCAAGGATCTGTTCCAAACCTTCGTCGAAATCCAGATTCTCAAAAGTACCTAGAGATTATAAACACAGGGTGTTAAACAAATATTCACGTTTAAATATATTTAAATAACAATGATGAAAAACACACTTACCATCGTAATTGTCAGCCATTGTTCAGACGATTGATGAGATAATGAACGTTGTACACGGTGAAGATAGAGTTACAGGTAGGTCTAATGAACGTTGTACAACTTTAGCTTTTTAACAATTCGTAGTGTGGGGGGGCGGCTCCTTAGAACTCAGCGTAAAATCCGATAACAACCAGTAGGGGGTATCCTAACACCATTTTTCTTTTTTTCTTTTACAAGTTAATTGGTGTGGTATTAGCGGCTCGATCTACCTCAGAGCCTGTCTGGTCTTTATTACATAGCCTGGGGCGTAGCCATAGACTTTCATCTTGAGGGTGTTAGATATATTCTTATCTACACATGTTTGAACACAACGGGGTTTTTAACCGACGAAAAATAAAAGTTCGGATATCTGTTTATCGCTCTCACACATTGTAAACCATACGCTCAAATGACCGTTTGAAGTAGGTATGAAGTAAGTCTCACGTTGGAAATTCAAAGAGATCTATTCTCTTGTTTGTATTAGGTATACCTCATAATTGCTTGTGTGTGTGTGTGTGTGTGTGTACGTACGTTTTAAACATGACAACATTCTGAGTGAATAAAGATATCAAATTTTACTAAAATGAAGTTTCCTACAGCATAGACTGACTTGTTAAAAACAATCACCCTATTTATACCCCACCCTATTTATTCCACTTTATTGTTATTGTCTTTTTTTTTCTATCTATCTAAGAGCATCCTGAACCTCTGTGAAACCACAACCACCAGATCTACGTTATTAACCTGTTTTTCTTCTTAACCTAACCAGATATTTGTGGTTAAAAAGTTCAACCTAACCAGATGTTTGTGGTTAAAAAGTTCAATAGGGTTCATATTCTTTGACCAGCCACTGAACCTTTGACTAAACTTTGACAAAGTTCACACTCGCAGGTGCATGCCATAAATAGATACAATGGAGATCCTTTGATCACTGAACTTTAGCTGACACACAACCCCACAACCCTCAAACTCATTAGATTGCAAATGAGTTGCAATCCCGGAAACAGGCTTAGATGTTTACAACCTTTTGAAACACAATTCGCTGATATGGACGATTCAGTGTTCACACAAACCCCAGACACCCGGCGCCTTTCTAGTTT